TATCTCCTTTGCCCTCCGGAATATTATATTACATGCCCTGCGGTCCCTTAATGTAGAAGCAGCTAAATCTTGTGTTATCCTGATTGTGTTTCCACAATACTTGAATTGTTTCTTTCTGGCTGCTTGTAATATTTTCTCCTTGACCCGGGAACTCTGGAATTTGGCTACAATATTCCTAGGAGTTTTCCTTTGGGGATCTCTTTCAGGAAATCGGTGGATTCTTTCAATTTCTATTTTGCCCTCTGGTTCTAAAATATCAGGGCAGTTTTCCTTGATAATTTCTTGAAGGATGATGTCTAGGCTTTTTTTTTGGTCATGGCTTTCAGATAGTCCAATAATTTTTAAATTCTCTCTCCTGGATCTATTTTCCAGGTCAGTTGTTTTTCCAATGAGATATTTCACATTGTTTTCTAATTTTTCATTCTTTTGGATTTGTTTTACAGTGTCTTGATTTCTCATAAAGTCACTAACTTCCAGTTGCTCTATTCTAATTTTTAAGGAAGTATTTTCTTCAGTAACCTTTTGGACTTCCTTTTCCATTTGTCCAATTTTGCTCTTTAGGGCACTCTTTTCTTCATTGGCTTTTTGGACCTCTTCTGCCATTTGGGTTAGGCTATTTTTTAAGGTGTTATTTTCTTCAGTATTTTTTTAGGTCTCCTTTAGCAAGCTGTTGACTTGCTTTTCATGATTTTCTTGCATCACTCTCATTTCTCTTTCCAGTTTTTCCTCTACTTCTCTTACTTGCTTCTCAATATCCCTTTTGAGCTCTTCCAAGGCCTGGGACTGATTCATATTTTTCTTGAAAGTTTTCGATGTAGGAGCTTTGACTTTGTTTTCTTCTTCTGGTTCTATGTTTTGATCTTCTTTGTCACCAAAGTAAGATAATATAGTCTGACTCTTTTTGCGCTGCTTGCTCATGATCCCAACCAATTACTTGAGTTTTAAACTCTTTGTTAAGGTAAGAGTCTGTTTCCAATGTGGAGAATGTACTGTCCCAAGCTTTGGGGGTTTGTACAGCTGTTTTCAGAGATACTTCTAGGGACCTGAAAAGTGTCAGTTCTTCCAAGGTGCTATGATAAGGGGCGAGGTGTTTCCTCTCCACCGCCACAACAAGCTCGACCACGCCAGCGCTCCTCCTCGCCCCAGGACCGCCCCTCAGAACTGTGACCCAGATCCAAGCACAGGCAAAGCAAGAGATTGCTGCCTCAGCCCTGGCAAAGAGATCCTTGCAATCCCCCTCTGATCAGCCACTAGATTCCCCCTCAGTCTGTGAGCCAGAAACTCAGAAGCCAGCTGCTGCCCTCGGGGCAGCTGAGATCTAGCTTCTTCTCTCATTGCAGTAATAGACTTTTCCCATTGACCTTCTAAGATGCCTTTGGTGTTCATGGGTTGAGAAGTCTGGAAACTGCCACAGCTGCCCGCGATTCAGTCCTCTGAGGCCTGCTCCAGGGTTGCTGCGGCCTGTGCGCCCTCGCCGCACTGTGCTCCTCTCCCAGCGCGGCACGATATACCTTTCTGATCAGCCATCCAGGTTGTCTTGGGCTGGAAATTTGTTTTACTCTGTTTTTTTGTGGGTTCTGCTGCTTTAGAATTTGTTTAGAGCCATTTTTTGTAGGGATTTGGAGGGGTTTGGGGGAGAGCTCTAGCAAGTCACTGCTTTCCCTCCATCATCTTCTCTTTTGTTTTCTAAACTTACTTCTGTTGAGATGAGTTTGAAGGAAAGAAGGGAGGGGGAGATGAGGAGAATGAGCACTCCAGATATGAAAGAGAGCTATGCAAAGACACAGAGAGAGGAGATGGAACATCATTCATGAGGAACGTTAAGAAGGCTAGTTTAGCTAGACTGTGAAACACATGAAGGGGAGTAATGTGTAATAACACTAGAAAAGTTAAGTTAGAGTCACGGTTTAAACAGCTTTCAATGTCAACCACAGGAGTACTTATTTGATCTTAGAGGTGATAGGTAAGCCACTAGAATTTACTAAATAAAAGAGTAACAAATTCAGACCTGCACTTTAGTAAAGTCACTTTGTCAGCTGTGAAGAGAATAAAAGGGAGTGGGGCAAGACTTAGCATTTATATAGTATTTTAAGGTTTGCAAAAGCACTTTACATGCTATCTTATTTGATCTTCTCAACAGTCCTATGACACAGATGATATTATCATCCTCACTTTACAAATGAGGAAACTGAGGCTCAGATTAAGTAAACTGCCCAGGGTGACAGACTTAATAAGTGTCCCAAGGCAGAATTCAAACTGAGATTTTCCTGACTCCAAGGCCAAGACTCTCTCCATTGAGCCAGTAAGTTGCAATTAGGACAGACTAGATGAGAAGTGATGAGATATTCAACTAGGGGAGTGGTCCACAAGAGTAGAGAGAAGGGGATGGATGAAAGATCGTGGAGAAAAAACAAGATTGGCAACTGCCTGGATATGAGGGACAGTGAAAAGTCAGGGAAAACAACACAATTGCAAAAATGAAGCATAATAGTAATACTCTCAATAGAAATAAGTTCAGAAGAGAAGTGGGTTCACAGGGAAAGATTCTGTTCTGGACATATAGTTTGAAATGTCTAATAATTAGTTGGTGATACAGTCCTGAAGCTATGGAGAGAGACTAGCTTGTCAAGATCTTTTTGAATTTTGTCATACAGTGTGACAGCTACTGTGTCAGCATTAACAAAAATTTTAAACAACATAAGACCAAGCACAAATTCTGGCACGATCCATCAAAGACAATTGACAAGTAATTTGTAATTACTTTTTGAACCTGGCTATTCAATGAATTCTGAATTCATCTAATTAAACTATTGTTTAGCCCCCATTTATCTATCTTTCCCATCAGACTAGCATGAAGTGATTTTTGTCAAAGGCTTTACTATTAACTAGGTAAACTATATCCAAAGCATTTGGATACTCCTTCCAATGTTGCAAATCGTAATCTATTTACGTTTACCCATCCAGGGCACACCTTCTCCATGTCCTTCTGTAAGTTTAGCCTGGGGAGTTCACCTAACCTACTGGAGGCCTTTTTTACTTCCTCCTGACATCTTGTGTATAAGAATTATCTACCTGTCATTCCTCTCTGTCACACATGACCAGGATTTATCTAATGACATTTTTTTTACTCCTGTTCTTCAAAGTTTCCCATTGTTTATATTATTACACACCTTTCCAATGTCCTCTATATAATATTTACTATGAATTTTTTTCAGAAACTGTCATGTTGCATGCCTCGGTGCCATACACAGCACTAGTGTTAAAAAGCACCTTTGTTTCTGGGAGAAGTATGGGATCATTAAAGTTCCTTGCAACTCCTTCAAGACAATGAAGACTTTTCTCCTCTTTCTTCAGACCCAACTTGATGTCCATCTGTACTGTGTCCCAGATATACAAAATGATGGACAACCTTTATGGGCTGTCTATCCAACAGTATATCAAAATCTAGGAAGGACATTCTTCATACACTTGGTTTTCCTGTGTGGCTGAGCAGGCCTTTTGAGTTGTTAAGGATCTCATCCAGGAGGCTTTACAATGTTCTGGGGCTTAATGCAACCACCATAGTCATCCACAAATTACAGCATGCAGGGGACAAAAACCACCCGCAGAGAATCCCTCTTCTAGTTAAGCTCTGTGAAGGATTTCTCCTTTACAGTGGAGAATATATCTCCCTATTTTATACCTCATCACATTTATAGAGATTATTGTACAAGGTTGTACAACTTCTGATTGACATCTTTCAAGAAATCTTGAATGACTATGATGTACGAATGAATCCCAAAAAGGTTAAAGGACTTGCCTAGGGTCAATAATATATAATTAAGTGTCCAAGGCAGGTTCTAAACTTGGGTCTTAATGTCTCCCAAGTCCAGCACTCTATTTGCTATGCCACATTGATTCCTCATGAAATTACATGAGTTTCTTAAGCAAAAGAACCTATTTAAATTTGGGGAAAGATTTACAGATTGTTACAAATATATTACAGTATAAAACTTCCAACCCTTTATCAGAAGAGAGCCATGAAGGTGATGTCTTGCTCTACTAAATCAAATGCTTTTTTATAATGAATAAACATTAAACACAGTGGGAACATGTATTCAATACATCTTTCAGTCAAATACGTGATGGTAAAGATGTGGTTCACTTGTGAACTGTTCCCTACTAATAACTTCATCAACGATATCTTCTATCTTGCATGGAGATGATTGTCACAAGAATCTTTATCTAGCTAGAAAAGAAGATATACAGGCAAGTGGTTGTCAATGTTATCTCAGTTGCCTTATTTCAGTATTAATAAAAGTTGAGATTCTTTGTCAAACCTTTGGTATTTTTCCTTCTCTCCACTATCCCTCAATACTCTCACAACTATGTAACTTGCAGCAGGGAAATCCTCTAGGTATACCTGGTCTCCCATCTCTGTTCTGTCTAGTGGCATTTTTACCTCCTCTATAATAAGCACGGATGGGAATGAGATGTAAGATGCCAAGTGCAGTAGAAGTGCTGTCCTTAAAACTGGAAATAGTTTATTATTAAAATACTTACAGATCTTTTCCACTTTTCTATTTTTTCTTTTGTTTGCTATTATTGTCTTTGCTTATCTAGATATCTCATCAAGCTTTTTTCAAACTGGTTTTACCTTCCACTGCTTCTCTGTTTTATGGCATGATGCTGCTCATAGTTTTCTTTCATCCTTTTTTTATAAGATTTCACAAAATAATTTATATTCTAAACTGACTTTTTACTTTGGCTAGCTGTCCCAATGACTACCTGGTGTAATAACCTTATCAGTTAAAATGTATCTCCTGTTGGCTGTGGATTAAATGATTCCAGAACACTTGAGGTACTCAGAGACTATACCATGGCTACTTATTTTTTCCCCCATGCATCATTATTGTGATTCAACATTTTATGTAGTCCTTATTCTGACCAATGAAGACAGATGACATTCTAGTTCATAATGTTTCAATTGAGTAGCATTTTTTAAAATAACTATACAATACCTGAGCAGTTTCTATTTTCAACTTGTCAATATTGAGAGTATTTCTCTGTAATCCACTGGCAGCCAGTGAGAGAAGCTGTTTCAGGGCTTTAATATCCTCTTGGACTTTAAGCATTGCTTTAGAAGACATTCGACTAATTTCTTCTTGAACCTGTTTTTGTTCCTTCACAAATTTCCTGCAAAAATTTCAATAAAATGCAATTTTAAAAACTACTTTCTAAACCAATTACAAGTAAAGATAAGAGGCTGACCAATATGTCAAATTCCAAGTGCCAGAAATATACTAAAAAGGCTCACCTAAAGTACGTATGTCCTATTGCAGACTCAATGCAGTCTACCCACCGGGGCCCTTCCCCCAGCAGGTAGAGGGAAAGATAGAGCCAGATAGATAGGATGACTAGTTAAATACTGCCTCTGGCACCAGGGGAAAAAAAACAACTTACCAACTTCTACATCTAACCTACTCTGACTTACCCATTACTAGAGTATTCCAAGGCTGCTAGAGTCTAGTTACTCAAAATTGGAGCATTTGTGAAAATCTGACACTTCCCATTTTGTGCTCCAGAGTACAAAATACAGACTCTCACCAACCTAGCCACTTGAAAAGTTCTAGGCAAAGGTAGTGGTTTAGGACCAATGTTAATGCTATTTCATTTCCAGATCAGGAACCAATATGGAGGCTTGAAGAACAGTGAGGCAGTCAGTGAGCCTGAATTCTCAATATCCTTCATCTATGAGGCTGGTATGTTAACGATAAACCCTATGTTTAGAGCAATTGGGTATAATGCTCTCTGTGCTATAAAATCCCAAGCAGAGCAGGCATATTTTGCTCTTTATTCTCCATTGCTTAAAATTCTTTTAAGTACTTAAGAACTTTTTGTTCAATTGCAAATTTTCAGAAAACTTACAATAATATTCCAAATTGAGATTTGAATGCTTATCTTTGAAGTCCAACATTGTTAATTTTATTAGATACTTACTGGAGATTTTCAACATCTTGGCAAATTACAGGAGGTAGATTTTCATCCTTCAGTGCTTTACTATCCCTAAGAAAAACACCATACATTTATTTTAACCAAACAGATAAAAGAAACTTGAAATTTCTTCAAAGATAGGTAAAACAATGGCAAGTATCATTCAAGAGAACAGTTTATACATTGATCATGATCACAATACTTTCCATTTACACAGTACCTTTCCTAGAAGAATTTTTTTTTCAAAAGTATGGGAAGTTTTTAATCTGCACAAGTATTTTAGGAACTGGTAGTATAAACGCCATCCTTTTATATTTCTAGTTAAAAAGCTTTAATATGGTTTTAAGTTGACAACATTTGAATGACAAGGACCCTAACAAAAGTATGCCAGTTCCCAGCAAGTAGTGTAACGTGGGAAAAGGGAGTCCTTGGCTAATTCTCCACTTAAACCATTCCACCAGCCATAAAATTAGCACAAACCTACACAATTTTCCTGGAAGAATTTTAAATAACTTTACAATTATTAAGCCCTAAGATATTTGTAAAATCAGCACTTCATCAATAAGTTCTTTGCTGTTGGCATGCAAACAGAATATCAATAACTCTTTCAACTCCACTTAGCAAAAAACAAAACAAAACAAAACAAAAAAACACAAACTACAGAAATGGTTATAGAAGAAAAGACTTTTCAAGGCTTCAAAATAAAACCATGAGCTATTTTTATATGAATTAGATAAGCAGCAGCATACTCAAAGTTTATGATTAAAAATAGAAAGTGGGCATAAACATTAGAGGTTGGGGCTTTAGGGGAGGAAGAGAAGAGGTGAGCTACTAAAAATGCTAGCAAGGCTTGAATAAAAGATCTACTAAGAATACTGAAGGAGATAAAGTTGAATAAATGAGGCAGAGCCAGGCTTGGGAGGACTACTTGAATGCCAGGATGAAGTATTCTGATTTAACCCAATAGTCCAATTTCTCAAACTAATTTTGGCAATAAACACACAATAATAATTTTAATATTTATGTCAATGGTCAAATTTGACTTTAATGTAATACATGGTGTGAAGCAAGGTGTGAATCCAAACCTATTTTACAATACCCTATCCAATTTTTCCAACATTTTTATTCTTCTCCCCAAAGTTTTGTTTTCCCCAGTTCTGAAATTATCAAACACTAATCATTTATGTACAATGGTTCTATGTCTGGAATCTCTATACTACTGTAGAGATCTATTTTCCTATCTTTGTCCAGTACCACATATTTGTTATTACTATTCTAAAGACTATTTTGAAATTTAGCAAGGTAACCACTGATTTTTTTTCCCCTCATAATTCCTCTGGATATACCTGTCCATTTATGCTTCTATATGAATTGTGTTTTCTTTCTCTAATTCTGTAAAGGAGTTAAAGCAATAATTTAATCTGAAAAAAACTGACATTGATGTTATGTTCACTTGATACAACCATAGCAGGGAAAAAATTTCTCCATTTGTTCAGTTTTCCTAATTTGTCAAAATTATTTTAAAGTTTTCACTGTGTAAGCCACAGGATTGCACATTTATAGTTAAAAGGGACTTAGAGGCCATTTGGTCTGTCTCATTTTTCACATGCTATTAAGTGACAGAGTCAGATTTTGAACTCAGGTCCCTGTCTCAGCCACTGTATATGTAGGCTTACACAGTCTTTTTGAATTACAGCCCAAATATTTAATATGCTGTGTAGCTACTGTAAATGTTCTTATTCTATCCTGCTTTTATTTACTGGAGATAATATTGAAATGTAGATGATTTTTGTCGATTTATCTTATATCCTGCTATATTACAAATACAATGTATTATTTAAATTCTTAAAATATATGTATTTTTGGGCAAAAGCAGAGAAGTGGAACAAGAGGCATTCGTAAGAGCCAACAAAAAATAGGACAATTCCCTAATAAAGGGGATAAACACTTCTCAAAAGAATTGAAAAAAAAATTGCAAATTATTAACAACCACATGAAAGAATGCTCCAAATTACTAAATTGAAAAATGAAAATCAAAACAATTCTGAGGTCTCAACTCATATCAAGAAAATTGGCAAAAAGAAAAAACATGAGAATAGTCAATGCTGGAAGGGTTGTGAAAACCAGGCACATTAATGCATTGATGGTAGAGCTATGAATTAGTACAATTGTTCCAGAAAAAAATTTGCAATCATGTTGGGGAAAAAAAGTGCCTCAGGTGTCTACAACCTTTGACCCAGAGATTCCACTGTTAGCATACGCCCCATGAATGTCAATAACCAAAAGAAAGGCTCTCCAATTCATCAAAACATAGATAGCAATACTTTTTGTGGTAGCAAAGAACTGGAAACAAAGTAGAAACAAGGAAATCTGGGTGACGTAAAAACAAAAAACAGTAAAAAGATAGTCAACAAAAGGAAAAAGAGAGTGATAAGGCTAGAAAGACAGTTTGGACAAAGAATATGAAGGACCCTGAATGAAAGACTAAGTTTGGAGTTTATTCACTAGGCATTGAAGAGCAAATGAAAATTCTTGAAGAGAGCAATAACAGATAATTATAGGATTTATTATAGCATTAGACTTGTTTGTGGTAGCTGATTATTGTTCAGTTTCAGAAAGAAGAAAATGAACAAGAAGGTGAAATAATTTTTCAAAGTGAATAGAATATATTCATCTTATTCCAAACCTTATGATCTAAGTGCTAAATTGTTATTAAGAAACAAAATTTTAGTTTTTCTTTCTGAAAAATAAAAACTACTTACTCTGGTCTTGTTCCTGTTTTATCACCTAAAAAATTAAAGAAGTATTATGTAAGAATAGGAAAAGTATTAGAACTTTTTAAAAATGCTAGTGATCTGAATATATATATATAAATATATATACACACACATACACGCATACGCACAATTTAAGGTGGAGAAACTAAAGTCTTGACCCCATTTGAAATTTGCAAATTTCCAAAATCATTAGATTTTATGAATTTGAATTATTTGGTTAGAATATATCTGAGATACGGCATTTATCTTCCAAAGCAAGGTTTGAAAATCTCCTTCCATCCTTGTTCTTGTCCCACCCCTCCAACATAGTGTTATCATGAAGACTCAATGTCTATAGCAGACATCACAAAATTAAAATCTGTACACCACAGGAAGTAGAATTTTCTATCAAAGTATATTCACTTAAAAGTACCATTAAAAAACATCCCACACTACAACCTCCTACATGACATACTCTAGCCAGATACCGACTTTATCTACCTCTAAGTCCCAGGCTCTGAGTTCGGTCAGTAATTAGTAAACTTATAACGTATAAAAAAGTATTTTCCTAATATCTGAGATAAGATTTTTTTTCACCAATTGTACATTCAAACCCAAAACTGTGACACTACTTCAAAGAAAATGAAATCGGGGAAAATTTAAAATAAAAAATAGCATAAATGAGCCTGTAACTCATAGTCTACTTTATACCTACAGAGTATTTTCACTGATTGGTTTTGAGGTTTAGGTTCCAAATTTACTATCCTACTTTCCCCTAAATATGAATGCAAATGACATAAAAAGATAAGACTTACTCTTTTTATCTGAAGAGCTGCTAAAATCTATACCACCAAGGCCTTCATTGCCAGTGGTTGAAGGAGCTGCAGTAGTTCCCAATGTTAAACCCAGGGCATTCTGTCCAAGTCCTACAAAATGATATGTAAAGGAAAAGATGTCCCAAAAATACTATATGAATATTGCAGAGTAAAGCACTTATTAACTTAAACAAAGAATTATTTTTCTGCACTTGACTTTCAGGAGAAACAAACAAAAGACAAATAAATTAGCTAAAATCAGAGATACGATAAAGGCTTTAGAGACTATGTTCAGGAAAAATGAAATTTCAATAAAATGGGTTTAAATTATCCAGCAATTTTGCTACAAAGAAATGAATTAACTTTTTTGTGGAACTGAAGTTACTTTGAATTTTTGGGGGGGTTGTGGGGTTGGGTTATTTGTTTCAGAGTTGATTTCTTCAATGTGCTGGTTAGCCTGTATGGAAACTCCCTCCACGTATGCAGAATAGCAACTGTCTATGACTCTGTCAAGAGTTTTTCCTGGGGCAACGAGAATAAACAACTTGCCCATGGTAACACAAATATCTGTCAGAAGCAAAATGAACACAGGTCTTCCCAACTTCAAGGCTGGTCACCTCTATATACTAACACATGGTGCTGAATGTTGAAGGCAAAATCCATTTCAATGAGATCACAAATTCATGAGCATAAAACTATTTCACCTGTTTATTCACAAAAAAATTTATTTAACTTTCTTATGATGGGTAATTCAGCAACCTTATACTTCAATGTTATAAATAGCATTTTGGACCTTCTAAAATAATTTTCTGAAAATTTAATTCACTTTATCATAAAATTATAGCTTTAGAGCCTGAAGAAATATTAAAGATCATCTAGTCCAACCCAATCAACTTATAGATAAGGAAATTGAGGCCCAGCAAGGTTAAGTGACAAAGTCACACTGGTGCACAGTGACAGAACCTGGATGCAAACCCAAGTCTTCCAAGTCCAAATTCTTACCACTGGTATTTTCTATTTTTAATACTTAGATCGATGAAGATTAGCTATCAAAATAGAAGAAAATTTAAGGCATTATGCTGACTTTTACCTCTCTCTACTTAAACCTATGCTGTATGTATGTGTGTGTGTGTTCACACACATATGGTATATACCAGGATGTATCACTAAGGTACATGGCTATTGCCCCTTTCTGACCAAATGCCACCAAGATTCTTCAAGCCTTCTATTGAAAAAATTAAGTGGGACCTCTAGATTAGCACAATCATAACTACAAACTCAAGAATCAAAGAAAAATTATGGAAAAAAAAATTAGCAAATAGACCTGAAATGAATGAAACATAATTTATCTATCCTTTCTATTCCTGCTTTGTCTGGATTTTTTCAAATGTATCTAAGATAACTTTAGAATGAATAGAAGATAACTTTAGAATGAATATCTACCAAACAGATTTGTGTGCCTAAATGATGTAGAGTAGAGGTTATTAAGAATAAGCAGGAAAGTTTGGTGAGGATAATGGTGTTGTTGTAAGATCAATATGAACAAGGCAAAAATTATTTGGTCAGCATCACCACCACTTCAAGGCTTTCTTCTACAAAGTGTACTAACCAAAGCCTACAGTTATTGGTTTATAATCAACCTACAAAAGGATGCTATTTAAAATAATCAGATAATGATACTTAAGTGAAGACATGGAGAATATTAAAAAAAATACACAAATGCCCAGTGAACTCAGCTCTCCAGCACTACAGTGATTTTAAGAACATGGAATGAAGTAACAAAAACCATAAAGCATTAAAATTCAATGTCCCAATTTAAAGTGAAACTAGAGATTAGTCATTTGACAAAAACATCACTTTTCTCTGTTGTCAGGGATCTCCTCAAACAGAGTTTTGTAATAGATCTACATTCCATTTAGTATATGGCATAGCACTAGCTGTTCAACAAATGCTCAGAAACAGAAAACAATGCTTTTAAAAAATAAAGTCAATTTGCTCAATAACAAAAAATGCTACAGACAAGTTACAAATAAAATTATTTTCAAGGTTTTTGCTAAAAAGTAAATAGACCATAATGCTCTTAGAAAACAAACCTGCTCAAAATAGCAATTGAGGATAAGAGAAAAATGAATTATTTCAATACTGAATTTTTAACATTTGAAAAGGAAATAAATTTTGAAACAAAAGTAACTGATCACCTGATGTTGCTGTATTTGTATTCTGGAAAAGAGAGGTTCCCAAACCAGGTAAAGACCCTCCGAGAGAAAGCCCCGTTGATGAAGTTGTAGTTGTAGCAGGTGTTGCACCCAAATTTAAAGAAAAGCCTGTGGAAGCTGCCGAAAAAGACAGACTAAACATCAAGAAGAAACCCTACTTCATAAACTATAGATTTTTCTTGAATACAAATGTAACTTTACTCCTAAATGAATAAAATCCCATTTAAATGGGTATAGATTCCTCTCTGGGAAATAGTTTTCAAGTTAAGCTATAAAAAGTATTTGTTCCTTGGTATATAACATTCAGAGTATCAGCATTTATGTATTTATACTATAATGTTTAGAGTAACAAGTTACCCTTAAAATCCAAACTACAGAAAACAGTTATCTAGCGCTGCTTTGAATGACTAAATATACATTTTTGTTACCAGTTAATCTACATGCCATACACACACAGTAGTTACTATCCTTGTCCTTGGAAACAAAAGACAAACTTTCAAGTGTGCTACTTCCACTTAAAATTAAATTATGTTGATTTTTCCTCTCCCAAAAAGATTAGAGTTGCAAAATTTTACATATACATGTGTGTATTTATACATACACACACACACATTTCTATATTAAGTGCCAAATTAGCCTCCTACTTTACATATTTCATAAAATCTAGTTTTCACATAATTTTCTTAAAATGAGTATTTACAGTCTTCGACCAAATAAAAACAAAACTTATTCCAATTTAATGCAACTTATGTTTCTGCCATGAATTTACCTGCTGCTGGAGTTGATGTAAGGGCAGATGAAAGAGAGAGAGGACCACTTGAGGTAGAAGTAATAGGTAAAGCAAATGGTGTAGCAGATGCTGCAGGTTTACTGAATCCTAAACTGAAACCTGTTGTTGTTGCAGATGTAGTGGCAGGTGTCCCTGTAATAAAAATATTTCATGATGTTACATAAATATTTTACACCTGTAACTGTCAATTTTCTCATTTGTAAAATGGATATAATAATATCACCTATAGTCCTTTCACAGCCTGATATGACCAACAGCATATCAAAGTGCCAATCATGGCCCAGGCATCAAAATGAGATAATGCATATAAAGCATTTTATAAGCTTTAAAGCAGAACAGAAATCTCAATTATTGCAGTCCTGTCCCTGCAAGATAGTCAAAAGAACTTGGATCTTGAAGTCAGAAGACCTGAATTTGTATCCTGGCTTTAACATTCATTAGCCAAGTGACCTTTAAGAAAGTCATTTTATCTCTATGAACTTTTTTCCTCATCTGCAAAATGGGAGAAATCTATCTATTTATCTATCCAGATAAAACATTCTGTAAATCTTTAAGTTCTATATAAATAAACAATTATTACTGAAAGATCAAGGGCCTATATATGCACAACAAGCAGTATACTTGTGTATAAGATCAAACTCCCTCAACAATAGTTACCTAGTAATTTCAACTAAGAAGACTAGTGAAAACCAGCAAGGAAAACAGTAGACAGGAAGAAAAAGTCCAAGGTTATTTTGTCATGAGAGGTTGGAGAAATATGTCAATATGGATTGAGATAGAAAGATAGGAAAGCCACGGACTTGCTATTTAAAAGGATCTTTGTGAATGCTTCTCTTGATCAAAATAGTTATGACCATATTATAACAAAGTTTTGATAACCTTTTCAGCCCTGGGAGCTATAGTAAGAAAAGGTAAATTGAAGCAGCTAATAAATGGGTGGGAGAGGAGGAAAAGGTCCATTTTTATGGGAGAATAATAGAACGCCATTAAAAGTCCACTTGAATTATCACTCAAAACAATAACTGTTCTATGCTGCTCATGTCCACACCTAAAAACTGGACTGCCACATGGGGAAAATAATAATGATAACTCTTATGGTAGTATTTCAAATTTTGCAAAACACTTTACATACATACTTGATCTCATTTAAGCCTCTTAACAAACCTGTAAGGTAGTAATACAGGTATTATGATTCCATTTCACAGATAGAGAAACTAAGCCTAAGACAGAGTAACAAAGGTTCAAAGATTTGAACTCAGGTTATCATCATCCAGCCCAGAAGTATATCTACTACACATTACTTCCCAAAGTATATCTGCTGCTAATGATACTAAATAAAAAAAGTGACCACACCTAAGAACTCACAGATTCCTCAAGAAAACCTAGAAAAAATCTAGTTGAATGCTCTAATAGAAAGGAGGTGGGTTGTAAGCCAGAAATCAGGCACACTTACTTTATAAATGAGAAAATGAACTTCAAATGCCCATCCCTAACTAGATGCCAATGCCAAGTTATGTGATTTTTAGGTGTGAAGCTTTTCCCATTAAAGTTGTGTCTCTGAAGTAACTCATGAAAAGTAGTAGCATATTAAAAAATGTTTCACTTTAAAAACTACGAAAGGCAATTAAAACAGGGGAAAACAATCCCTACATTCTCAGAACATTCAAAAGACGTAATGATTATGTCCAGTTATTTCTGCATTTTCTTCATTCCACATGTCCCCACCTCTGAGAACGGCAAAGTTAGGAGGGTTGCAGGAAGGTCATGCCAATCATGCCCTAGGGGTTAAACTCAACAAAATCAGTCGTTTCAGATCTACTGCCAAAATGTTCTTACCCAGGGTTAATCCTGTCCCTAGAGTCGTTGCTGTTCCTAGAGATAAAAAAAAAAAAGAATTTAACAATTATTAATTATGATGATTAGTGACATTTACACACTGCTTTAAAACTTGCAAAACATTTTAATCTTATTTGAGCTTCATGGCAACCTTTGATATTAGTGCAACAAATATTTTTATCCCCATTTTACTGATGAGGAAACTGAGACTGAGTGAAGAGTTGCCTAGAGTCATACAATGCTGCGTGTCTGAGAAGGATTAGAATCCAGGAATTCTAGACTGTTAAGTCTCACACTCTATTCACAATGCTCCAATTAAAGATTTGGAATGATCTACAAGAAAAATAGTATCTTAATAATATCATCTCACTGGAACATAAATAAGCTCCTCAGGAGTTCGGACTGTTCATTTTCTAAAATTTGTATTCCAGTACCTACCAAAGTCCTTGGTTTGAATATATACTGACTGAATATTATACAAAACCCTTCTTTACTTCAACCATTAAGCAGAGCTCAAAATCAACATGAATCAATAAGCACTTCTTAAGCATACGCTAACAAGTCAGGCACTGTGCTAAGCACTAGGGATACAAAGATAGAAGTAAAACAGTTCTCCTCCAGGGGCTTACATTCAATTGAAGACAACATACACACATCTAAGCATTTATAGAACATACAAGGTAATTTGTATACTATGTAATTTTGGAAGGAAGACCCTAGAAGCTGAGGCTGCATGTAAAGCCAGTCCTTGAGCTGAGCTCTGAAGTTACAAAGTCTACGAGGTGGCACTCCAGGAATGGAGACAGGAAATGTAGTGCTGTGCATATTTAAGGAACTGCAAGAAGGCCAATTTGGCATAAACACAAAGTGAATGAAGGGGAATAATGTCTAATAAGCCTGGAAAACTAAGAAAGGCTCATGGTTTATAAAAGAATTTAAATACCAAATGGAGGAGCTGTAGTTTATCCTAAAGATAAAAGCCCCTAGAGTACATAGTTAAGAGAATAATGTGATCAAATTATGTTTTAACACCATTTCAGAGGTTGTGTGGAGATGATAGAGAGGAGAGACTTAGGGCAAAGATACTAATTAGGAATTTATTGCAATAATCCAGGCAAAGGGGCTGAGGGCCCAAAAGAAGTATGGCCACGTGAAGTAAATGGAAGGGGAAAGACTTGGGAGACACTGTGGTGTCAAAATCTGCAAACTTACTTAATGTAGGGGGTAAGAGAGAGACGTCAAAAATAATTTTAGGGTTTCAAATTGCAAGGATAGTTAACAAAAATAGGGAAGTTTAGAAGAGGGAGAGAGAAAGGGGAATAGAAAGAGTTTGAGATGCTAACAAGAACATTCAATTTAAAATATCCAATAGGTCATTGGTGATACAGGCCTAGAATTCAGGAGAGAGATTAGGGCTGGATTTATGAATCTAGGAGTCATCTCCATAAAGATGATAATTAAATACAAAGGACTAATAAGTTTATCCAGAAAGAAAGTACAGCAAGAGAAATAAAGAGGGCCGAGGGCAGTGCTTTGGTGTATACCCACAGCTGGAAACTAATTATAAATTTCGAACATTCCAAATATGCAGAATTAAATTTTGTTCCAAATTAACAATCAAAAGCATAAAGGGTAAAATAAATATTCTCATTTGCTCTAGTAGAGTAGGGCAGCTTTAACTTGGAAAAAGTTGGGGTTGGAGAACTTTGGTTCCAATCCTGGCTCTGACATTTTATTGTCATGACCTTAGATAAGTCACTTCTCACTCTGGGGTTCAGATCTTCATTTGTCTTCACTGTCATGAGCTAATAGCCCAATATATCAAAACCTGGGGCAGCGAGACGGTGCAGTGGATAAAGCACCCACCCTGCATTCAAGAGGACCTGAGTTCAAATGCAGCCTCAGACACATAACACTCACTAGCTGTGTGACTGAGCAAGTCATTTAATCCCCAATTGCCTCACACACACACACACACACACACAAAAAGCCAATATATCAAAACCCAAAGGTGAACTGAAGTCCCCCTTCACCATAGTCTTGAATTCTGTACCTATTTCCTGAGACTCTAATTATTCAGAAATTATGATATGAAGTTAAACCTAGGTAAGTTAAAAAAAAAAACCTCACCAAACTATAGAGATGAAATGTAAAATTCAACAATGAACAGCTATACCAGCCAAGTAGCGCCAGAATTTTCAATTATTTTCCCATAAATACTAACGGAAGGAAAAAACTGCTTACAAACTTCATTAACTATACAAGATACTTTTATGTTAAATCTGAAGTTAAACCTCTCTCACGCAAACCAGGATCTAAAGAAAGTCCCACTTCTGATGTATTGGACAGGCAATAATCCTTCAGTGTACAAGTAGACATGTTTGTGCTATTATTGAGAACAACTACGTCAGTAGTAACTTCCAATATTGTTGAGGTATCATGATCAATTACCACATCTACCCAGCTAAGAACAGACATGTCTTGTATGTCATTTATTTCTATGTGCTCTGTGCTCTACTGTAATGCTTCACCTTAATTTAGAGCTAAATTGTCTAATCTTGGGTTCTAACTCCAACAACCTACTAACTGTTATGACAGCATTCATGTACACTTGGATCTTTTCAGCAGGTCTAGGCTGACAAACTAGATTCTTTTCCCCTCCTCTTTTCTTACTTCAACCCCTCCCAAACCCCAGAACCTATTAATACCACTCCCCCAATATACCTCTTGTTGAAGCATGTAGGAGCAATCATTAAACAACCACAAAACCTGTAAACAGAAACACATACTACAGAACTGGGAAAGGGGCTCAGAACTGGCATGCATAAAGGCTGGAAATTTAATTTCTAAATTTGTATCCAATATATAGTTAAAAATTAATTATTCCCTACCTGTATTAGTGCCTCCTAAAGTGAACCCTGTAGTAGATTTTGAACCAAAAGGTCCAGTTCCAAAACCCACAGAAGTAGCAGTTGTAGTTGTTGGATTTGTTGTGCTTCCAAGAGATCCAAAATTGAGTCCTACTGATGAGGTGGTATTACTGAATAAAAAACACAAAAACAAACCAAAAAACAAAGGTGATTCGTCAATACAACAGAACAGAATAACAGACTATCACAAATGAAAGGGAAAGTGAGCTTTATAATTTCCAATGTCTTCTTTCATTTTGGCATATCATATACAACTTTTAACCTTAAATATAAATTCCTAAAGAACAACTACCAATGAATCCAGTTTTAATGAAGTAGTTTAAAAATATACCTGTCTTGTCTTTTAAAATATACACAGAGAAAAATACTCATGTATGTACATCTCCATGACGCAGATTTGCTCCCAGGATTATGTTAACAAACAATTCAATCTGACAAACATTTATCTAGTACCTATTACATCCATACCACTCTTAAATGGTGGAAGACACAAAGATGAATTAAGACATAGTCTAGTCTTTAAAGAACTAATTTAGTTTTCCTCCCACAATCTAGCTGGGACCATCAGACAATGACAAAAATAAAACATGAATTAGGCTATGATAAACGTATAGGAGCACAGTGGCACAGTGTAGTGTGGTGGTGTCAAATTAAAATAAAAACCTATCTTTACAGGAAGCTTATTGACATAGAAAACTACAAATTCACAATGTCGATGTTCTACTGTATTTTTAGTTTGTTAAACATTTTTCAATTACATTTTAATCTTATTCAGATGTACCTGCAAATTTTGCAGGCCACATGCACCTAGTGGATAGAGGGCTGGCTTCAGTGCCTGAAAGCTGAGTTCAAAGTCCAGTTCCTGCCACGTATTAGCTGGGTAACCGTGGACAAGTCACTTAATCTTTAAGGACCCTAAGCAACTCTCTAAGATTATAAATTAAACATTTGCCAAGTTGCAAAAATAAAGGGAGTTTCCTCACCAGAAAGTCTCTGCATTGATCAAATGGGATGACAGGCAGTGTACAGGCAAGCTACAGTTTCATAAATGATCCAAAAAGGGATCTCAGGTCAGGAAAACAACAAGGGAGACTGAGCTAAATTTTAAGGATAGGGACTGGGGTTGGGAAGAACAGTGTAATACAGCCACAGGTGGTATGAGCAAAATGCACAGAGCTTGGCATAGCGGGTAATCTAGTTTGACTGAAATGTGTGCATATGTGAAAAGAAACAGCATAAGACAAGACTGGAAAAGATTTTTGGATACAAAGGCAATTATATTTTCCCACAAAACTCATTGTCACCAAGTAATAAATACCAGGCTAGGTGGATGTAGACAATTTAATCCAATAAGTAATGGGGGAGTCATCAAAGGTTTTAAAGCACAGTACTGATATGGTCAATGCTATGCATTTGTAAAATTATTTTGGCAGATGTGTGAAGAACAGGTTGAAGAAAGATTACATCGACAGCTATAATATCAGCAAGAACAGGATAAGAAGGGAAGCAGGGAAACCACTTATTGGAATACTGAAGTGGTCCAAATGAAAGGGCTGAAAATACCCTGAATTAGGTTACTAACAGTAGTAAAGGAAAAGAAGGAATGAATCTGAGATATATATAATCAATGGAGGGAAGGGTAGTAAGAATATAATGTTATATCCAATAAAAGAAAATGTCTCCAGTAATTAAGAATTCAGATTTTAAAGGACGTTATCACAAAAGTGCCCATCACATAATACTCTTCTTGTATCTAATTCTTTTTCTGATTTTTGAAAAATCACATTTTTAACAGCCCACAGGATAATTCTGTGAATTAATTTCTTTCTGAAGATGTGTGAACTGCTCATGTATATATTTATCAAACTATTTTCTTAGTTCTTCCATCCAATTTGTCAACTTTCATTATATTAAAAACAAAGAAAATGGCTGTAAGGATCAGCCAGTAACAAATTTCTACACTGTCTTCTCTGTCTATTGCTATATAATCATACTCATTCCTATAATCTACCAACACATGCTTTTTTTTGGGGGGGGGGTTTACTAAAAAGTGTAGAGGGAAAATTTATGCAGTAATATTATTTATCAGGGTCCTTATATAGTTATTAAAAACATTTAGCATGTATATAATACTTTACATATATCATCTTATTTGAAACTCACAATAACCCCATAAAGTAGGTGCTATTAATGATTCTCATTTTACAGATAAGAAAACTGAGGTCAAACTGAGTTTGGAAAAGGTTAAGTGATTTGCCCAGGGCTGTTATTTGTCCTTCCTTCTTGAAGAGGATCATGACATTAGGAAGGTGATTCACTTGCAAGTGAATTGGATTTAAGTGAGGCAGAGCTGTGCAAAGTTCTCAGCCTCACTCTCTCCTCTAGAGTCAGCTGGGTCCAGTGGCAAGACATAGGTCAGAACAAACCGCGATGCAGCGGGGTACCTTGGCCTTTTTAAGCTAAGGTCTTTCCCCAGGTCTCAGTTTGCCTGAGGCAACACCCATTCAGTGATTAAGGCTAGGTAAGAAATGAGGCAGAGAATGGCCTCTTTTACCTAGTCCAAAAAAAAAAAAAAATCGATCTCAATCTGGAAGGGGAAGACTCTTAGGGTTTCTGGCCAAAACAGAAACAACTTCGATTTACAATCACTCCGAGCCATCAGAACCCAAACAATGACCTAGTGAGGCTTAGGCTGAGACCTACTGTTGGCCCAGGGTCACACATCTAATAGATATCTTCAGCAAGATTTGAATTCAGGTCTTCTTGATTTCAAATCTAGCATTTTATCCAAGCCACCACCTAGCTACTTCTATCCTTGTTTTATGTTTTCTTGATCCATATTAAAATGCTTGGCACTATAATGTGAAAAATTGTATTTCCCAGTAATGAATAAAAGCTTGTTCCCACATGTCTCAAAGCTCAGAAATTATTTTATGAGAACCAGTGACAAAGGCAAATATGCTGATCAGGAAACTGACAGATAGGGTCTCATTGTTCAAGGGGCCACTGTACTAAAAATCTTACTTCAATAGCCTATAGCTGCCTTCTCATGTGTGTCTATACATAGATGTATACACATAGATACTACTTCCTATCTGAAAATAATGCAAATGAGCACTCTCCCTACAAATCACTAGTCAGATAGCTACCCTTTTAATTACACATAAATCTTATTGTTTGCTAAATTTCCAGTGCCCTGCTCTGCTATGATGAAGCCTTTGTTTCCGGCTGTGACCTTGTATATAGGATTAAGTTCTGTGATCGTGCATATAGAGGGAATAAGTTCTCCTCAAAATATTATTTGTGTTACTACTAAATGTTATTAAGTTAATATACAGCTACACATTTTGCCTTCTCAAGTAGTCCCAAGTTTATTACAAATTCAAGTGTATTATAGATACAGATTTTAAAACCTTCTTTGTTTATTGAAACTACTCTCTATTAACACTTTTCCCCCTTCCTTCCAAGAAAGGGATTTGAATATATCTGCTGGGAGGGGGGGTGGAGTGTAGGGTGAGAAGGACAATTTCTTCCAAGAAAGAACAAAGATTTACAAGTCTACTTCTTGACTTGCTTTTAAAAGATAAAATAGGGGCATCAGAACTTGACATCTATGTTAGGCTGAAATTATGTTGATTTACATGAATATAATTATACATACGTAAATACATCCTTTTAACTTTCTGGAAATTAATAGTGCTTTTATTTATTCCTGCTGAAATAATTTTTTTTTAAATGAGGGATAAGAAAAGGACCTGTTTTCTGTCCAAAATCTACTCAGTATGGAAATGTTAAAGTAGATAGAGAAACTTAGTAAAGATCTTGAATCAACAAACTTCTGTATTTCTTTTAGATGTTGTTACTTTAAATATAATTAGAAATTACTTGTATTAGATGATTTTAATACCTTTTCTTGTAAATGTCCAAATAAAACATTTCTTCTCAATGCCCCTGGATTTATAAGCCAAAATGTGACCTCTGAACCCTACATAAGGTATAGATTTTGGAACTGGAAAAAAAAATCAATATAACAACTGCCTGAGTCACGGAGGAAATTTTTTTCTATATATGAGGAGAAAGATGAAAAGCCATTTTGCTGCTTTCATCCTATGAGCTAGGGCCATGTGCTGTGCTTCAAGGGAACTGGGTCAGCAGTTAGCCTAAAACCTGGGAACACCAAAGAGGAAAAGAATGATGGAACCCTAAATATCCTTCAATAAACCCAGCTCCAGATTCCTAATTTTTGTGAATAGCTGGTCTTTCATTTCTCTGGTATGGCAGATGGCTTACCACAAAAGTATCCATTTAGAAAACATTTGCTACTAAATGACAAGGAAAGTAGACAGAAGAGCCATATCACCTCTACACTCCTTTTGCAAGTCCCTATGAACCACTAATTGAAATTAAGCAGCCCTAACAAGACTGAAACTCATTGATAGTTATTTCTCCTATCCTAAGAATGAAGGTTCAAATGTAATCATTCTATCAGGCTATTATGATTATGAATAGCAGTCCTCTTCTTTGCAAGCAAAGAGCTAAACAGGTAAACTTTGCCATTTGTTTTAGACAGACAAGGTACAGGCAAACACTAATCACAGCTATTAAAATACTCTTACTGAGATTTTAAAGTCTCAGAGCTTTATAGGTGGAGAGGGCAATCCACTGAGGGACTGGAAAGAAGGGCTTGTAGCAGCAGCAGGGGAAAAATGGGGCATATAGGCCAGAAACATTAAATGCAACTTCATTTAATCCAATCAGTCCTGCTCATCTCTTTCCATTTTCTCAGCAGCACGTGTGACTAAGATAAAGTAGGTAAAGTGATTTGCAAACTTTAAAGCACTATGAAAAAGTGAACTATTATAATAATGAAGCAATCCTAGAATCAGTTTCCCTACTATGCCTTCAGCTCAGATGTAAGGCTGGAAAGGACCTTAAAAACCTCCCGTTATTCTACGGATGGGGAAACAAACTCAGAGGCATTAAATTGTAAGCTCCTTGAGGGTTAGGACTTTCTTTGCATCGCTAGGCTAACACTTAGCACAGTCCCTGGACATAGGAGTTGTCTGTTAGATGTTACTGACAGGTCCGAGGTCAGGTAAATAAAGATGGA